ACACATTCGCTCACATTGTACTTTAGTCTATTTTCTCACTGGTTAGTTCCTTCAAAAGCTTCAATTTCATTCAATTTGCCTTTAGTCCAGATCAGGCATGCAACCATCCCAAGGCAGGGCTCGCTGATCGGCAACATGTTCGGTTGCGAACCGTTCGGTGCCGATCAGCGATCCCTAGTTTGGGATTGTTGCATGCCTAATTCTGTACTCGATGATTTTAGCGCATGACTGAATATGAATTTTTTTGCTTAATTTGTAATCTGGTTCGCCTTCTGTCACGATACAGGATCGTCGCGGGTTGATCGTGACGGAATAGGGTAATTTCTGCTTCTCATCGTCACATACGACACAATTAAATTTAAAAGCAAGTGACTGGAATAAAATAATCATTTCAAAAATTCTTGCTGTAGTTTGTATCGTGCTTTTCAGATCACTTGAAGGTAATTTACTCCTTAATTTAATTCAACGTTTGTTTAATGTCATTTAAAAGTACTCTTTTATTCTCTGCGATAAGTAAAGAACAAACCTAAAATGAAAAACGCTCTTGTCGTTGACCAAGATTACAAGATCAAGAATAAAAATAACAAGTATTTACAACAGTATAAAAACAACTCTTGTTATTGAACAAGAGTATAAGAAGAATAAAAATTCTGTTCCAGCATAATCATGCGAAAAAAGAATAAACCTCTCAGCTAACACCTATGGCCTGAAATATAACTACTCCGATTATATCTAATTTGATGTAATTTGGTACAGAAACATAAGATTTCAGGTGCACATCCGTTCGAAAAAAGAATGGCTGCCGATATTTCTGAATAATTTTTTAACGAAAGAGCTAGAGCCCTGCGTTTTTCAGTATACAATATAATAGATTATTTCATGAACGTGCACACCGAGGAGAATGATTGATGTAGACACATTCATCCTGGTAGCTGGACGGGATTTTTCAGAGCAACTGTAGTTTGAAACAAAACAATGAGAAGGCAGTAACCCAACTTGTGAGCCAATCGATCGATCGCGTGAACGCAGTGAGAATGTAAGAGGCTGTTTTACACGACCTGACGTTTGAAGTTTCAGCGGTGCAACCGATGAGTATTGGGATTTGTGTATCATTCTTTGTTCAATTTTTGATGCTCCTCAGAAATTATTCGACGTCTCGTGATGGTTGTTTGGAGAAACTGGCAGGCCGGTAAATCAAGCCTTTCGAGCTAATGCAATTAATGGGTCAGGCATTCTGATGATGGAGATGATGTAGCAGTTGCTGCGATCGAAGACGTGCTTGGTGTTGTTGTAGTAGTTGAACGGGATATCATCAGTAATACGCTAATAAGAGATTAATGTTTGACTGGTTTCTCGTTCTCGAAGCCGTTATGAATAATTATGGTAAACAATCGAGTAGTCCTGATTGCTCGATATTTATTGACTTAGTGCAAATCTTTTAAAAAGAAAATTGAGCGTAATTGGTCCTCTATATCGATGTTATAAAAATTCACTATGTCCCAAAAATTTTAACGGTGATCTCCCTAGCGGTCAGATCTCAATATGACCATTGTTCGAAAAAGATGTTTGAACTCAAAAAAACCAAAAACTGAGAACTGCCTTCGATGACTCTATTTACGAAATGCAAAGGAAGAAAATTCACTTACCTCTTTTTTGAATTAACGTATGATTAATTCTGAATAAGTTTCCTATAAAGACAGCTCTCACAAATGGCATGTGGATAATAAATGCATTAATGAGTCTGCCTAATCACCCTCTCTCAATCAAATAAGTCTATCTTTCGATCGGCTCTCAATAAGTTTCCAATTGCTTGCTTAGATTTGCTCTTCCTCTTCTTGAGATGTTAAATTATGAAGAAGTTGCCATGGTCGCTAAATCTGATGGATGCCTCATGAAACTTGAGGCTAATATCAAAATAGATCGTTGCTGGAAGCTCAATCGCTTTTATTAATATTTTAAAAGAAACGGAAATACGCACACTAAACCATAACAAATGACGATGAGAACGATACGCGCCGGTGTCTAGAAGGTTTTTCTAAAAATGAGAAAAACACATGTGTATATATCTACGGAAAAACAGACAGCAATAGAAGAGAACTATAGATATATATGAACAAGAGAGAAAACAAATGAATGTAGAACATAACTGATTGGACGAAGGAAGAGAATAATTGTGGAATAACACGTGCACATACCTAGAGATCACGCGGCTAAACATGTGACAGGAATGATGCAATAATATACGTTTGCCAACGCCATACTAGACAAACATGCAGTACCATCTTTATCCATAACGGGCCGTGTTACTACACTGTTTTCAGCTATTTCATATTTCAACTCACGCGAACATGTGAAAGACCTAGACCTGTAACTCTTATGAATTTCAAACTTTTTCCTCTTAAATTTCCCAATCCAGTACAAATAAGATCACTATATACGTGGACCAAACAGCAACAATTTTAAACTGTCTTTCCAAACGGTATCAGACTGTCAAAATAGGATCCCACCGACTATAACTATTTTATCTTCTCTCAAAACATATTTTTCTGCATACATAAACTAACCTTAATATGACTGCTGGTTATATGGGGATTCTGATACATGTAATGACCATTATTTATATTTATCGTTCATTGACTAGTACTGTGACCTTTATTTTCGCGAAAGTCACGAACAGAACAAAGACAGTCAAGTAATTCAAGTGTCATATTTTCAGCGCCTATCGCAAATGAATAGATGAATTGGCTATTTTTTGTTTAATAATTATTATTATTTACATTAAAAAGGTTAGTGAAAACATACGAAAACACATTAAAGTCACTAATACTTATGTACGTGAAATTAGTGCATGTCCATAACTTGTGTTGTTAAAGTCTATCTGATTTGTCATCGTGTTTTGCTTTTGTTTCGTAATATTGTGCTTTTTTTGCGTGTCTTTCTTCATGAATTTTATATTTTTGTGCATCTAATGCCGCTTCTGTTCTGACATCCTGCGGTAATTTGGGATCATTGGCTTTCTTTTCCTTAGCATCCGCTTTTCTCTTAGCACCAATTTCTTGCACTTTAGCATAACCAGCTCGTAGGCTATCCATGATTGTTAGTAGCAAAAACTAATGTTCTTCTTCTATTTTTGAAGGTTATGGAAAAATATATACCCTATGCACGTGTGTCACTATGAATGCAATGCTTGATTGAATTTCGTTCTTTCTAATTTCTGTATAGGTATTCTACACATCGCTGGTTGTCGTTCATTTTCAAAACGTAACTCAAATTTTGAGGATATGCGTTTTATTATTAGTGCCCAATTAAGACAAATGGCTATTTTAACACTAAATCTTTACGATAAATTCATCTGAATAATGGAACGCTAGTTCTTTTGTACACAAATGAAAATGATTATGCACTAATCAGCACAAATTAGCAACAACAATAAAATACGGTAATTAAGAGCCATTCATTTATCAAAAATAATACAATTATAATTCTGTTTTAATCTTAACAACCAAATACAAAATTACCATCAAAAATAATTTCATTAAGAAATAAACCAAACACAGTATCACATATCAGGAAAGCACCCCATCCATTAATTTTTCTAATGCCCTTAAGAACTTAGTCCATTGTATAAAAAATCTATTTTCAAGGAGAGATCATTATGCTTGTATGCAAAGAGGAATTCGGACGGATTTACCGAACATACGTCAAAGACATGTACAGTATTGCGAAAAATTATATTATTATTATATAGAATCAATAACACATATTCAAGGTGTCAATGTGTACAAGTGTAATGAAATACAAGAAATCACCATGTTTATTATATAATCGTGAACCAGCTACATCAAGTTCATTTTGATTCATAGATGAACATCATGAAACAAAAACAAAATTTTTCATTTCTTTAGCGGTTGCTATTTATTTGTCCAGTCGAATCAAGGGCAAATACCTATGGCATACTCGACAAACATGTAGTACCATCTTTATCCGTAACTGGCTGCGTTACTACACTGTTTTCAGCTATTTCATTTTTTCTATTCAATATCGTCATATTTGAATTGCAACACCTGAAGTTTTTTTGAATTTTTTCATCGTATAATTTATTTTTAAAAGTTGAAACCATCTTTTTCTTACTTAGCTCGATCCGCTCTATCCAGGCTTGTATATAAAAACGAAAACAAATTTACTCAGCGTTTCCGGTACCATAAAAAGGCAAAAAATGTCTACAATTCAACATAACTTAACACACACACGAATGCTCTATAGATCACAGAACTGTCACACTTAGGGAAGCCGTCAAAATTCGCATCGGTGAATTTATTCACCGGTGAATAAATTCACCGGTAATTTGATTGGAGAGAAAATTGAGAACAGAATTATTCAATATGGCTGAAAAAAA